ACAATTCCTTTTGGATCATCACATGTAACAAATGATCCGTACACAGCTGATCTCAGATTGTCTTGAAGCATATTCTGTGACACAAAATTACAGTCACTAGAAGTCGGAACATGTCAGATGCTACGAAAATCTCTAAAATCCAATTAAGTGAGCATGTAAATGCATGGTCTTGGATATTCTAGTCAATTGTTCCGAAAGTCGCCGGTATCGGACATGAAATACACTTGGTTGGTTCTGTTTTGGGGAGAGACTAGAGAGACAGGCCAAATAAACAATTTGGTGCTGCCAACAAAGAGTGAGCAGCTAATATGATATATATGAGCAAAAAGCAATCTCGAAGAAAGAGAAGGAAGCCTTGATCTCATTAGCTACTGCATTAAACAGATGCATCAAGAAAAATCCACACACAACGGACAAATTAGCGTAAAAGTACATGAAATAGGCTCAGTCCAAAACTTATAAGAGGCTAAGTTGTACATTTGTTGAATTCATCTAGCGAGGGATATTTCTCTATCTTATCCAACTATTCCTTTGCCTGTAAGAAAACTCCTAGAGTTCAAACAAATTATATACTTCTGCTTTCGGAAAGAGAGAAAAATAGATTATAAATACATGCCAATGATTAAAATTTAAGTTCCTATCACCGCCAAAGCATTCCATCATTCAACGTACCTCATGGCTCAACCTAATAAATTTAACAACTACTCTCAGCTCTAAATCTAAAGAATAATCAGAAATCCAACAACAGTTGGAGGTCCATACCATTTTCCAAGTTCTTTATTAATGTGAATGATTATGTTATTCTGATTAGGAACTTAAGTGAATAAATCGTTTTCGAATTTGTAAACAAATAATTGCTTACAAAATAATGAACTCTGTTAAACAAAAATAATTGCTTACATTAGAGAATAACTATAAATATTATTGTAAAGTTTATATTTAAATATTTTTAATTTATATAAATCGATAGGTTGCTATTGCATTCGGAAAGGGATCCTCGCCGGAAATTTTGTGATCGTGGCCGTTCATCGTGTAGTAAAAAATCATTTGAAATATAAAATTTAAAATTAAATATAAATAGTACTTAACAAAAATTAACTGCACGATATACGATGAACGGTCACGATCACGGGATCCCGAAATCCCCAGAAAAATGATCCCGCTGGGATCATTTTCCATCGCATTCTATGCCTAAATCAAATCATTAACTTGAACCATGCTCTTCATATGGGAACTGTGCATTTTTCTTATTTGAATTAGTAGGGTTTGTATTTTTGTTTTTCAAGTTTGATTTTGTGGGATTTCATTTTGATAGATATTTCAGAATTTCAGAAAGCAGGTGTGATTTGATCGGCAACCTGAATTACAGAGGTTTGATTACAGGTACACTACAAGTTACCTCACTTTTCTACCAAGTGTCTGCTGCTTTTTCCAACAGGAAAAGATTAGCTTGGTTTGATCACTTATTTGGATTGTGTAGATTGGTTTGATCTCTTAATTTGTGTTGTGCAAATTTTGTTTGAATTAATTTGGGTTGGGCAGAGGAAGCAAATAATTTTTTTAATTAATAAATTTAGTTTGGTCTGTACATATGCTAATGAATATTATTTACCAAAGTATGAACATGTCAAGAAACTGTTCGTTACAAACTATTCAATAACTTCTTATAAGTATCAATGGTTAGATTTCTACTGTTCTACTTTCAATCTTAAACATCCAGTGATCAGATTGTGGCGTCGTGGTGTTTCACTGGAAACGTCCTTCCCTTAATAATTTTTTTCAAAAAGCAACTCATGCTTTTCCATTTTGTTTTGTACTTCAAAAAGCAGCTCTGCTTTTCCACTTTAGTTTTTTGTTTCCACCGTCCTATTATATGTTAGGGGTGGGCACTTGAAACCGAAAACTGCAACCGAAACACGAACCAAATCGAACCAAACCGAACGGTTTGGTTTTGCAGTTTCAAAACGGTTTCGGTTTGAAACCAAACCGAATAGGAGAAAAACGGTTTGGTTTCGGTTTCGGCCCTCCGAAACCGCATACCTTTATTAAATGTTAAATTTTAATTGATTATTTTCATTGAGTCCATACATTTAGTATGGACTCAACCACATCATAACATGGCCACATAACATACCATTTTATTTTCTTTCTTCTAGTCCCGTAGTCCGTGGACTAAGACTTTGTGTTCTCTTTCTCAAGTTTCTCAGGTTTATTCATCTTTCTCAAGTACATTTAGTATGGACTTTCTTTATGTTACACTTTCTGTGTGTTTGCAACTTTACTAAAACACATCTACCACCTTTTGTTGTTAAAAAAATTTCACATAGTTTGATTGGTAGGTTCTACCAAAACCAGAGTTATTACTTATTATAATCTTTTTTATGTTTGGGTTTGCAGTACTGGCATTGGAGATTTGATGTGCTCTTAGTTGCCTCAAGTTGAATTATTTTGTTGTGGTCCTTATGGATGTGAATTTTGTTGTCATCAATTAGGTAACCATAATAGTTTTTTCAAACAATGAAACCAAACCGAAACCGTTTGAAACCAAACCAAACCGAATCAAATGGTTTGGTTTCATTTCGGTTTTAGCCTCAAAACCGCACCGAACCAAACCGCAAAAACTTGCGGTTTTGGTTTTGGTTTCACTCAAAACCACACCAAACCAAACCGTGCCCACCCCTATTATGTGTCGGTACACTTTTGTCTAGGGGTGGGCATGGGTAGGGGCGGGCCTATTTTTGAAAGGATCGGACCGGACCCGAAATAAAGGGAGATGGGTCGGGTCGGGCCGGGCCAGGCATTACAAATCTTAAAATAGGAACCGGACCTTACCTGGTCCGGTTGAAACGAGCCGGTTCGGTCCGGGCCCACGGGTCCTCTTTTTTTTTCACTGTTTAAAAAAATTGCACAGAATATTGTAGTTTGCAAACTGCACAGATTGCAGTTTGCACAGAACACAGATTGAAGTTTGCAGTTTGCAAACTGCACAGATCGCATTTTGCACAGAACACAGATTGCAGATTGCAGTTTGCAGTTTGCAAACTGCACATATTGCATTTTGCATAGAACACAGATTGCAGTTTGCACAGAACACAGATTGCAGTTTCTAGTTTGCACATATTGCAGTTTCCAATTTGCATAGATTGCAGCTTGCAATTTGCATAGATTGCAGTTTGGCATCATTCAAAGGCATTACACCACCTATTAAAGAAAGTTACCCAGAAGAAGAGTTTTTTTTAAGCCAATCCGCTCTCCAAGCAAGCAACTCTCTGATCCACCACAAGCAGCTAAGTGAAATGGTGTACTTCCAGGGTAGTTGCACATATATGGAACACATAGATTGAAAAACGCAGTAAACACAAATCTAAAAAATGCAGTAAACACACAGATTGAAATCCCGATCCCAATCCCAATCCCAAATTCCAATCAATAACCAAATCGCAACACAAATCCGAAATCTCAAATCCCAAATCCCACTCCCATCCAATCATTCACCCAAATGTTCATGCATTCATCAACTCCCACCTACAGTTTCTAGTGCTACTGATCCTCCGCATCCACAAAAATAAAATTCGGAGAAGACAGAATTAGACTTACGATAGACGACGAAGTAACAGATGTCGTTGAGGTCTGAGGATGGTTGAATGGGTGGTGGTGGTGTCGATATGTTGGTCGCAGCGGTGGTGATGGGCGTTCTCTGTCGTCGGAGTCAAGTCGAGTCGAGGGATGGTGGGAGGGAGTGAGAGAGAGTGAAAGTCGTGAAAGTCATGAAACTGAAACAACAATCTCTGGAAGTGAAACCCTAGGTTAGAAATTAATGGTTCAGATTGCATGATATGTTATCAATCAATCTCAACCATTGATTATAATTAGAAATGGGCCGGTCTGGGGCCTCATTTTTCTAAGGTTTAGGAACCGGCCCGCCCCGTCTGTTCCCAAAATAAACAAGGCCCGGCCCGTACCCAGCCCAAACCTACACTACCTGCCCCTACCCGTGGGCCCAGGGCCCATTTGCCCACCTCTACTTTTGTCTCCCTAAGGCTGAAGGTGCTTTACTTTGAATAAGAATTAGTTTAATCATTGATTAACGTTATTAATTTCAAATTTTATTCTAATAATATGGTTTGTCTATTTATTATAAGGAAATGCTGAGGAGATTTGCTCAAAAATGAGACTTTTTATGGACTCTTTGTCACCTCATATTTTTTACACAATATTTTGATAATGTTGACATAAAAATTTTGCCAAAAACATGAGGTGGCGGAGAATTCATCAAGAGTCTCACTTTGAAGAATCTTCTTAGGATTTCTCTTTATTATATATAATATTTAGATTATTGAGTTTGTTTGAACTTTAGCATAATTGATATTTAAAGAGTAATAACAAAAATAAAAGATTTAAATTACAACATTGCAAAATAAAAAACAAAATAAAACATAGAGAGAGAAAATTTAAATGAGAATGTCTTAAAAAGTTTGAATATTAAAATGGCTAAATGACAAAGCAATTGAAAGAACAGACTGAATGAATTTTCGTATCTCATTGATAATCTTTACAGTACAAATACAATATATACACAATTGGGGCAAACAATTAACCCTTCATCAATGTCCTAGAAAATCGTATCCCTCTCTTGGTGGGATTTGACAGGTAAATATATTACAAAATATTTCTTAGGATAAGGATTGTCTGCCCTCCTAGTTGTGGTGACCTTCTATACCCTCCTATTTTATGCGGTCACGGTTAAGCCACGTCAATATTTTATATTTTTATTATTTTTTATCTTATTATCTTATTAAAAAATTAATATAAAATATTAACGTGGCTTAACCGTGACCGCACAAAATAGAAGGGCATGGAAGGACACCACAACTAGGAGGGCAGACAATCCAAATCCTATTTCTTAATAGAATGTGACTAACATTGGTTGGGAAGTAGTGTAAGAGGAAATATAATAAGGTAGATCTTAATTGTTTCTGCCCTCGTTGTCTTGAAAAGCACACGCGGAGCTTCTCTCTTTAACGTGAATAAAGCATCTTTCAGAGTTTCCAAGAATTTTTAAGAAAGTCTTTATCCTTTTGTGTTCCTTTCTTTCCTCTTTTCCTCTGTTCACCTTCTCGCCCAACGGTATGTTGTTTCTCAAGTCAATACCTAAAGATTATTACATTATAAACTTCTGTTTTTGTGGATTAAAAGATCTTGACTTGGGTTTAGGTGTTTCAGTATCATCGGTTTGGCAACACAAACACAACCACTGCTACATTTTTCAGTCGTAATCTGAACCACTACAGTGCTATACAGTGGATATAGCCATGGCAGCCCACGGAGTCTCATCTTCATCATGCTCCTCAAAACTCTGGAAGTACGACGTGTTCTTGAGCTTTAGAGGCGAAGACACACGTAAGGGCTTCACGGGCCATCTCCATCAAGCATTGGAAGGAAAGTGCTACAAGACCTTTATTGATGAGGACGATCTGAAAAGAGGGGAAGAAATAAAGCCCGAACTGTTGCGAGCCATCGAAGAGTCAAGGATCTCTATGATTGTCTTCTCAAAGAGGTACGCGGATTCGAGTTGGTGTCTCGACGAGTTGGTGAAGATCATGGAGTGCAGATCCAAACTGAAGCAACATGTTTTGCCAATATTCTATGATGTTGAAGCTTCAGACATCAGGAAGCAGGAAGGTAGTTTAGCCCCAATGTTTCAGAAGCACGAAGACAACATCTGTAAAGAAGAAGATGACAAAAAACGGGAAGCCAAGAGAGAAAGGGTAAAGCAATGGAGAGAGGCTCTTACTGAAGCTGCAAACTTGTCTGGCCACGATCTTAAAAACACTGAGAACGGGTAACTATTTTTTTTATTCAACTTTGATTATTTAACTGAAAATTTAGCTTTCCCCCATAGAACTCCTTTTTCTTTGCGATTAACCCATCATATATATTTTTCCAGACTGCACGTCGTATTTGTGTCTCTTCCCCTCCACTTAACTCTAGAATTAACACTGTCAATTATTATATGTAAGTTACATATAATAATTGAAGTAAATAATGTAACTAATAAAAAAAAAAAAAACCTAGGAATTGAAGTAAATAAACACGAACACCCGACAACCACACCCAAACACCGAAAACCCATCCTCTATCGCTTTATTACCTTCCCTTTCACCTTCACTTTCACTTTCACACGTTCATTTTCCTCTACTCTTCATCCTTTCTATCTCTCTCCTCACACTCACTCCCTTCACCGTCGTCGTCAAAGCCTATGATTTCCGGCTTCAAATCGCGGTGAAGGGTCGAGATGAGCGGCTGCGATTGAAGGTCGATTTGTTGCCATATCTGCTCGGCATCGAATCCGTCTATCAAGACCTGATGTAACGGCGATTTGGGAGTGATTAGCGCTCGGGACTGCTTGTGCTGTGTATTAATATTTTTTTTGGTTGAAAAGGAGATGAAAAACGGAATGGGTTTAGGGTTTGGGGTCTCTCAGTGAGAAAATCGCAGAGAGATGGTCAAACTTCAAAATAACTTCTCTTTTTAACGAAAATGTCTTTTTAAAAGTATAGTAAATAGTGATAAGTAAAGGTTAAAATTGTTTTTATTGCTAATCTATCGTGACGATAAGCTCATTCTTTCTTCTTCAGTGTAGATAATATCGTTTGTTCATAAAAAACAGTGACAAATATTTTTATAAAAATAATACACGAATTTAATTACAAAGTTTTGTTTGAAAAAAAAAGTGACAGAAATATTTTTATAACAATTAATGGACAAATTGAATTACACATGTATAACGTGTGGGCATATGACTAGTAGTTTTATTTTTATGTTGATTAAACGATTTTATCTTGGCTTAGTCTCATAATAGGCTAGCAATAATGTTGTTTAAATTTGCTTTTGGCGATAATCGAACTTAAGACCTGTCACTTACAATTGAAGAAGAATATCACTATATCGTAATAATAAGTGACGACTAATAGTTAACAATGTTAACTTTAAAATTAAGTGAAATGACATATGTAAATAAAAATAGTAAAAAGACACATGCAACTAGGGACAGCAGACCCTTGGTCATTGACTGGGCTTTAACTAGAAAAATTAATTAAATTTGCTTTATGACTCTGATTACATAATTTTGTAGTCCGAAAGCCCCTTATTATGTGATGATACATTTAGTTATGTTTGTTTGTAAATTTGACTAATTAATTATTGTTTTAAATTCCATAAGAATTAAAATTTCGTGTTAATTTAACGTGCATAAGCATTAGTAGGTGAGATTTTCAAAGTTGTATGATAATAATTTACCTATTGATGCTAGGTAAATTGTACATGATAATACTCTATGGGCTTGTTTTGTGGGTCGGATAGGGATAGGCTGTCAACCGTTAAAATGGACTCAAGAGTCCATTGCCGGGTGTTTGATGCGAATAATGAGCATTAGGGATGATGGGATTCCAATTTTGGTTACAAGTCCAGAAAAGGGCTGGTTTCTTAACCTGTTCATTAACATGGGATATGAGTCAAGGTGGGGATGGTCGTCGCGGGCAGCGGCGTGGGGTCGTCGTAAGCACAGACCCAACATTCTAGAAATGAACTTTCTCCAATGACTCTTCTACCACCGTCGATTACGATGACAATTACTGCCATCCCCACCTGTCTTCGATTGTCTTCTCCTTCGCCTCCTCCCCCGTCCAGTAATTTTCTGCTATCCTTTTTGCATTTTCCTTGATTTCAATTGCTTTGTTTCCGTTTCTGGAATATTGGGTTTAGTGCGTGGGGTCGATCTTTCTGTGTTTTCTTTGCACTTCTACTTTTCAATCCAATCCTAATCTAGTTGGGATAGTCTACACCAAACAGTAGATGAATAGCCCAACCCATCCCAGGCAATCGTAACCTAACCACTCCACCAAACGTGCCCTATAGGTAAATAACTTGCCCATACTATCCAGGTGAATATGCAATATATAGGTAAAGAGAGCTATTAGACTCATTCTGGTGTCTTATTTTTCCACTTATGTTATATTTACATCTATTATAAAAAGTTAAATGTATTTTCTCACCCACTATTATCCCTAAAATAACCCTATACGTATATAATTAGAGATAAATAATGTTATTCTCTTCTAAAAACCAGAAAATAATAATAAATAAATAACCGTTTCCTTTCCAAATTCCAATTGGGGTGGGAATGAAGAATTCTGGGTTTTCATTCTTTGCTTTTCCCCTTTTGTTTTCTTTTTCATATGCATTTTCCATTTTTTGCCATCCAAGGAAAAGTTCAAAAATAAAGAAACAGGAATATATTTGTTTTCAGAGTTCACTTCGGTTTCAAAATTAGAATAATTAACTGAAACCAAATGTTCGAAAACGAACCAAGGATGAAGAAATGGAGTTCATCACCATCAAAAGGCTTTCAAACAATGTGTGCCCAATATGAAGCAAATGGTATGAGATTTGTGTTTCACCTTCTGGTTATTCGAAGGGCAATTAATTATATAAAATTCAACAATACTGTTGAAAGGAAAAGAGGGAAACGGTTATTAAGGGAAAACTCATTAAAAACAAATTTACCCTAACCTAATAAAAACGAATTTCAAAAATTCTCATAGGAAAACGTGAAACAAATTGCATCCTGATCTAATGCAAATTCAAATAAAAAGTTACAGAGCTATGCTTCAATTGTACAATGTCGACAAATCAAAATGACCCACATAAAATTATCTTTTACCTCTTCTATGGAAACATAAACATCTACTTCTTCCGTAGAAACGTCATCTTCTAAGTTTATTATTTTTGTTTTCTCTGAATGATTTTGCTTTCTCTGAATGAAATGAGATGAAAATGATGAGTTAGGGTTTAAGGGAGACAAATTTTCTAAACATAGCGTAAGAGTTATCACACCCAAACTTTTATTTTTTATATAAAAAAAATTAATGCAAAAAGGGGTAATTAAGGTCTTTATTAGTCATTTTATAAATGGACAAATTTGTAATTAAAAATTTTATAAAAAGGTGGGTGCAAAGATAAGACATTGGGATGGGAATAACACCTCTCATAGGTAAATTACTCAAAAAACAAATTGTACAATTACAATAAGCCCACAATCCACAAATTTAAAAGGTAAATTAGTGACTATGCAATCTAATTAAATTAGTGAATATATGTATATACACACACACACACACACACACACACACACACAATATACAGTCTTGCAGATTACGAGAAGCTCAAAATGCATAGATTATAGTTATTGAACACGCAATACAATATTTAAAACACACAAAGAAAATAAGGTAAAAGACTATTTACTACCCTCATGTTTTGTGGTTTTCAACATTTAGTACATCAAGTTTTTTTCGTCTCAGATTCATACCTAAAGTGTAAATTTTGGGACAGTCTCATACATCTGTTAGTCAAACTGTTAAATTTGCCGTTAATTGTGACGTGGCGCCATGATTGGACGCCACATGGCATCCACGTTTTTTTTTTCTTTTCTTCTTTCTTCTTCTTCCTTCTTCTGCAACTTTTTTTTTCTTTTCTTTTCTTCCTTCTTCTCCTTCTTCCTTTCTCCTTCTTCCTTTCTCCTTCTTCTCCTTCTACCTTCTTCTTTCTCCTTCTTCTTCTTCTTCCTCCGAATCTGGGGAAGTTTTTTTTTTTTTTTTTTTTTCTTCTTCTTCTTCTTCTTCTTTATTCTTCTTCCTCCTTTTTTCTCTTTCTTTTTCTTCTTCTTTTTCCTCCGACTACAACTTTTGTTTTTTTTCTTCTTCTTCCTTCTTCTTCTTCTTCTTCCTCCGAATCTGGGGAAGATGAAGGTTTTTTTTTTTTTTTCTTCCTCCTCCTTCTCCTTCTTCCTTCTTCTTCCTCCGAATCTGGGGAAGATGGAAGGTTTTTTTTTTTTTTTCTCCTTTCTTCTTTCTTCTTCCTTCTCATTCCTCCTTCTTCCTTCTTCTTCTTCTTCTCCCTCCGACTGCAACTTTATTTTTTTTCTTCCTCCTTCTTCTCCTTCCTCCTTCTTCCTTCCCCTTCTTCTCCTTCTTCCTTCTTCTTTTTCTTCTTCCGTAAAAAAAAAAAAAAAAAAAAAAAACCTTCATCTTCCCAAGATTTGAGGAAGAAGGAGAAGAAGGGGAAGTAAGGAGGAAGGAAGAAGGAGAAGGAGGAAGAAAAAAAAAACTTCCCCAGATTCGAAAGAAGAAGAAGAAGAAGGAAGAAAAAAAAAAAACTTCCTCAGATTCGGAGGAAGAAGAAGGAGAAGGAGAAGGAAGAAGAAGGGGGAAGGAGGAAGAAAAAAAAAAGTTGCAGAAGAAGGAAGAAGAAGAAAGAAAAAAAGAAAAAAAAAACGTGGATGACACGTGGTGCCCAGTCATTGCGCCACATCACAATTAACGACAGATTTAACAGTTTGATTAATGGATGTATGAGACTGTCTCAAAATTTACACTTTAGATATGAATCTGAGACGAAAAAAACTTGATGTACTAAATATTGAAAACCACAAAACATGAAGGTCATAAACAGTCTTTTACCCAAGAAAATAATTAGCTTTTATTGTCTAGATTGTGTAGGTTATCTAATGGCGTAAGAACAAATTTGATAATAGGTGTTACTGGTATAAGTTGTAAATAATTTTTAATAATAAGGTCACTTATTTTTCTATGTGACAACTTAAGTAATAATAGGTCACTTGTTGATATATTTCTTCTAATTAGTTAATCCTTGCAAATAGTTAGTCACTGCAAGTTTGCACCGCCATTTATATTTTCTTACAAATTGTTTTTTCAGGCATGAAGCAAAGCTTATTAAGAAAATTATTTATGAGAATCTTTGGAAATGGCTCCCCAGAACAAAAAAATTACATGTGGCCAAGTTCCCAGTTGGAATCAATTCTCGTGTTCAAGAAATTATCACTTATCTTTCAAGTGGTGAAGGAAATAAGGTTCTCATGGTTGGAATTTGGGGGATGGGTGGATTGGGTAAAACAACAGCTGCCAAAGCCATTTATAACCAAATTCATCATGAGTTTGAACTCAAAAGTTTCCTTGCCGACGTTAGCGACGCTACAAGTAAACATGGCCTGGTTCATTTGCAAAAAACACTTAGTTTTGACATCATGGATCAAGAGATTAAAATAAGCACTGTTGATGAAGGTATCTCTTGGATAGAAGAGCAATTTTCACATAGAAAGGTACTTGTCATTATGGACAACATAGATGGAGAGGAACAACTCAATGCAATAGCTGGAAATCACAAGTGGTTTGGTCCAGGAAGTAGAATTATCATAACGACACGAGATAAACATCTACTACTAAAAGTGGACAAAGTATATCAGGCTCAGATATTGAATAAAGGAGAAGCTCTAGAACTGTTTAGTTGGCATGCATTTGGAAATAGTTGCCCTAATGAAGAATATCTTGAAGTCTCAAAAAAGGTTGTTTCTTATTGTGGAAGTTTGCCACTAGCCCTTGAAGTTTTAGGTTCTTTTTTGTGTGAAAGACCCCAAAAAGTGTGGAATGGTCAATTGGAGAAATTAGAAAGAACTCCTGATGGAAAAATAATAAAACCACTAAGAATGAGCTTTGACGGGCTAGATGATACGGAGAAGGTTACATTTCTTAACATATCTTGTTTCTTTATTGGAGAGGAAGAGGACCGTGTTGCAAAATTGTTAGATGTATGTGGATTTTCAGCAACAGTAGGAATCAACGTCCTCTGTGAACGATGCCTTATAACTGTTGAAGGCAACAAGTTGAATATGCATGATTTGCTTCGAGAAATGGCCAGAGTAATCATTTCTGAAAAATCTCCTAGTGACCTTGGAAAATGGAGCAAGTTATGGAATCGTGAAGATGTATTGACATATAAATTTATAAGTACACTCCCAATAAAATTTTGGATTTTTGCATCGTACAAGAAAAAGCATATGTCTATTATACTTTAAACAACATTCATGTGTAAATATATGCGGTTGCGCAAGGAAAGCTTAATTAGGCAACAATAGTACTTGCATATATTCACCGTACGTGATTTTGCCTAATAAATAATAATACATGTAAACATATGCAATCCCTTTCTTACGTAGTATAACCTTTTGTTAACAGGGAACTAAAGAAGGACTTGCTCTACATTTTCCTTATGACAATACTAGTTTCAGTACCGAAGCATTTGCCAATATGAAGGAACTGAGATTGCTTCAGCCCATCAACGTGCTGCTCAATGGAGATTACAAACATCTTCCCAAAGAGTTACTATGGTTGTCTTGGAGTTCCTTCCCTTTGCAGTCCATACCAGATGACTTTTTTAATCTAGATAAATTGGTAGTTTTAGATATGAGTTTTAGCAATCTGGTACAAGTTTGGGAGGGTTCCAAGGTACAATGAATTATACCTGATGATGTTGTGTTTCTATTTGTTTTTTAGATTTCTTCTTTTTTTTCATAACATCTTCATTTCGGATATTAATTTCAATTTTCTTTTGATTTTCTGCAACAGTCGCTACATAACTTGAAAACCCTTGATCTCAGCCGTTCCTATGACTTACAGAAATCACCGGACTTTTCACAAGTCCCAAATCTTGAAGAGTTGATATTGGAAGGGTGTGAGAGTTTGACCGAGATTCACCCCTCCATTGGTCATCTTAAAAGACTTTCTTTGGTGAACCTTAAAAGTTGTTCCAATCTTCGTTCTCTTCCAAGGGATTTCTATAAATTAAAATCTGTTGAGACTCTTCTTCTTAATAGGTGTTCAAAATTCATAGAACTGCATGAGGATATAGGGGAGATGATATCACTGAGAACACTTGAAGCAGATGGTACAGTCATAAGAGAAGTACCACCTTCCATAGTAGGATTGAAGAATCTCACTCGTTTATCTCTGGACGGTACTACGGGTATTCGATTATCCCTTGACCGCATGAGCTACGTAGAGCTTAATGGAGAATACAAACATCTTCCCAAAGAGTTAATACGGTTGCGTTGGTTTGGATGCCCTTTAAAGTCCATACCGGATGACTTTTTTAATCAAGATAAACTAGTTGTTTTAGATATGCGGTGGAGCCAACTGGTACAAGTTTGGGAAGGTTCCAAGGTACAATGAATTACACCTGATGATGTTCTGTTTCTATTTGTTTATTGGATTTCTTCTCTTTTTTTATTTTTATAACATCTTCATTTCGGATATTAATTTCAATTTTCTTTTGATTTTCTGCAACAGTCACTACATAACTTGAAAATCCTTGATCTCCGCTGTTGCCGTTCCTTACAGAAATCACCGGACTTTTCACAAATCCCAAATCTTGAAGAGTTGATATTGGAATACTGTATTAGTTTGTCCGAGATTCACCCCTCCATTGGTCATCTTAAAAGACTTTCTTTGGTGAACCTTAAAAGTTGTTCCAATCTTCGTTCTCTTCCAATGGATTTCTATAAATTGAAATCTGTTGGGACTCTTCTTCTTAATGGATGTTGGAAATTCAGAGAACTACATGAGGATATAGGGGAGATGATATCGCTGAGAACACTTGAAGCAGAGCAAACAGCCATAAAAGAAGTACCACCTTCCATAGTAGGATTGAAGAATCTCACTCGTTTATCTCTGGAGTGTAATTTGAGCGGTATTCAATTGCCCCATTCGTTACTGGGATTAAACTCTTTAAGGGAATTAAATCTCTCATGGTGCAAATTAGCTGATGACGCAATCCCTAAGGATCTTGGGAGTCTAATTTCTTTACAAGTTTTGGATCTTTCTTGGAATGTTTTTCATACCCTACCCAGCCTCAGTGGTCTTTCAAAGCTTGAAACTCTGCGGTTACATAATTGCTTTAACCTTCGTACAATCCCTGATATACCACCAAATGTGGAAGTTCAGCTTGTGTAATATCCTGAGGTTGATGCGTGCAATATGAAGACTATCTTTTCAAGCTTTTACTTTGGAGTTTGAGGTTCTTTGGGGCTCTTGAAGCAGATTCTACAGCCATAAGACAAGTACCACCTTCCATAGTAGGATTGAAGAATCTCACTTTTATCTCTGCGTACTGTGCCTGGTCATTTGCCCAAATTACCTGATGATGCAATCCCTAAGGATCTTGGAGGGAATGATGTTCATACCCTACCTAGCCTCAGTGGCCTTTCAAAGCTTGGAGGGAATGGATGCATATATCTTCATACAATCCGTGATTTACCAAGAAGTTTGAAATTCTGTATGCCATTGATTGCCCTGCATTGGAAACAATGCCCAATTTTTCGGAAATGTCAAATATGAGAGAACTGGAAGCAAGTGATTCTCCCAAACTCAATTGAGGCTCCACGCTTGGATAAGTTATTAAACCCCATGACATGGACTGATATGCAAAGGTTTACCAATCTCACAGTTGATTTTGGCAAGAACATCATACAGGTATCTCTCTCCCCCCTCCCCCTCTCTCCCCTAAGTTCTAATTGCCTTCCTATTGTGCGCATGCAGATTCCTATGGTTTTTCCAAAGAGTAGTTGTATTGAATTTTGAAGATATATTGCATTCAGAAACATTTCAATATTACAAGAACCGATATAAAATGCATCTAATGGTTCGAGAAATAGCACTCGAAATCGCAGAAATACAAATGCACCAACGTTTTCTTGTCAAATGCACGTTCTCATTTTACGAGTGCAACCATACTTAATGTTCAACACTGGACACTACATAATCAAGTTCTTGTAATTCAAGAAGGCCATACCTCCACTCACTCTGAGATACAAAGGCATCTGTTTCTTCTTCCCTAGGGTTTTCGTCTGCAAGACCAGCTTTGATTGGGGAAGCGTCACTTTTATAGTCCGTAATAATTCTCATCTCACTTTCTTCACTCACAACATTTTTGGTCTGCATAAAGAACATTACTACGTTTAGCTTCGTAAAGTTATATTTGTAAGGTGAAAAAAAAAGCAGAAATTTTCTAAAACGATTTTGAGACAAGGAAGACTTACAACTGATTTAGTTACTTCAGGATTTTTGGCTGGATTTTCCTTCTTTAAGTGATTTCTTTTCCGCTCAGTTGAGTTACATGCTACATTTCTGAGATGAGCGTTTCGAGATTGTGATTGTCGCAGTAATTGGTTGCCAAGATATTGACTTGAAACAGTCTTCTCACCTTCCTCAAACTGTTTCTTCAGAGCAGCCTGCAAAGGTCTCGAGGGGTACTCTTCAATTCCCATGAGCTTGGCAATCAGACTCGGCCCTTTCCCCTCCTTTTGCGAAGCAGCTGTTGTTGCTGCAATGGTGGAGTCACTGGTGGTATGAAACATAGAACTCTGGGTTGGGCCGGTGGAGGGAGTATCCAAGCACGAATCCATATATCGAAAATAGTTTACCCTTTTCGACAGATTATTTTCCATCAGTTTCTGCCTCGCAAGGCTGTCTCTGATCACCTTCTTAAGCTCTTGATTTCCATTCCTCGAAAACCATCAGCAGAACGCCTCGGTTTTTCAAATTCCATCACAGACTTGTGTTTTTTTGTTCAAGTGAGACATACTCTGAAGCTTCCTGTGCAACTTGCTAAGCATGACAAGAGAACTCTCCCGATCAAGAGCTCCTTCCAAGTAGTCTTTCACAATGTCCTTCTACTGCTGCCCTTCGAAACTCATCTCTTTCGACCAGGAATCAATTGTGTGGTTTAGCTTATGAGATCCTCTGGACACTTTGACACATTTTTAGATTTCACTATATCTGTCTCTGGTGAGTTCCTAATAACCGAAGTCACCTTTTGGATCTTATCAACCTTCTTGTCAATTGCCTCCTTTCTATCTTCGAGAAAGTTGAAAGCTTCTCATTCTGCAGATCTCAAAGCCTTTTCTTTCGTCTTGGCCTCTCATTCTTCAGGTTTCTCTGCTGTCACTTTCCACTTTTTAGCTTTTTCTTCCTTGTCAAACCTTTTGCTTGGAATCTCTTCTGCTTCCATTTTTCAGTGCATTTTTTAAGACTTCAAAGCTCCTTCTTTTGCTTCCAAACTTTTTGGCATCTTTTTGGTGTAGAAAGCTTCCTCTCCTCGACCCAATGGTGCATGAGGCTCCTCCGATTACATAGATGAAAAAGGAACTACTTTGTAAGCTTTTGGATTTCCTGCTTATGTGTGAGGCACAGGATGACTTGGAGTGATTCCAAATTTCGTCACCTTCACTGTGGTGCCTGAATTTATCTAATTGCTCTATTGAGTTGATTTCCAGTGCACCTTTGGTGTGATGCCAAAGGCCAGAGTGATTCCAGATCTCTCTTTTGTTCCCATCTCTTCTTATTGTTACATACTCTAGATAAGATATATGGTCACTCGTGCAATCAAAAACCTTTTTCTAAGAATAAGACAATTAAGCATCCAAGTTGAAGAAAATCAAACCGACTACTGCAAGTTAGAATATACCAATCCAATAATGGGGTTTAAGGAATGCTTTCCAGAATATGACGTAACAAAAATGTTGAATCCAAGTTGAGCATATATTGGAGAGAAGAAGCTATCCAAAAAGTGAATAACCACCATATAGATAGTGATCGCTACTGGAAATAGGATCACACTGCAAAAGAACAAAGAGTGAGCAGCTAATATTTATATATATATATATATATATATATATATATATGATCAAAAAGCAATCTCTAAGAAAGAGAACGAAGCCTTGATCTCATTAGCTACTAGATTAAACGGATGCGTCAAGAAAAATCCATGCACACAACATGATTAGCGTAAAATTACATGAAATTGGCTCGGTCTAAAACTTATAAGAGGCTAAGTTGTGCATTTCTTGAATTCATCTAGCTAGAGGCTATTTCTTTATCTTATCCAACTATTCCTTTGCCTGTAACAAAACTCCTAGAGTTCAAACAAATGAGAAAAGAATAGAGAAAAATAGATTATAAATGCATGCCAACAATCTAAGTTTAAGTTCCTGTCACCACTAAAGCATTCCATCTTTCAGCATACCTCATGGCTCAAGCTAATAAATTTTACTCTCAGCTCTATATCTTAAGAATAATCAGAAATCCAACAACTTTAAAGATATTTGACCCTCCCCACAGCATAGGATTGATGGTTGACACATACAGTATCGATATAGTATTGCATACGAACATGATTTGAACAAAATAGGAGCCAGAAGAAAGAAATGGCCATCATCCTATCATGAACTTTTTTGATGACCAACATCTAACAACTTAGGAAAACGTCTGCGCACAGATAAAAGAGATAAGAATGATTGTTGTGAAGATTAAGAAAAAGGAGCACAAACACTCAAAAAGTATGAGAACTTATGCGGCAGCAACTTAGGCCACCAAAAGCAACCAACTTTGACACACTCTAACCGGTTCTTGATAAATTACTGCTGACTTACAAGACAAATTTTTACGTGCGTACCAGTATATAATGCAGCAGGAACACCTTTAAACTGACTAAAAGTAGAACGCAACGATGTCACTAAATTTCTTGTAGAAATGTTTAGATATACCCGAATCAATTGTTTGATCTTCTTATCACATTACTTGGAAGCTCGAGCAGAGAAATAGAGCGGAAAGTAATACCGAAAATCCAAATTAGCACATTACAAGTCCAAATGAACTGATGCAAAATTGACAAACAAAACAAGACCAAAATCTGAGTTTGCTCCTCCATTAGCCTCAGGAAACACTAAATCAGACAATGTCAAACACAAAATTAGAAATTTAATCGCCACAATCAACCCATACATCACAATTAACACACACATACTAACATAAATTCGCAATCTATGCAAAAACTTTCAGCTTTTCCCTCGAATTTTCCTCCATTTTCTCAGCAACCAAACACAACACAACACGCAAAGCAATGAAAACAAACAGCAATCGAAACTCACCTCGCGGCCGGTGCGGTAGGAGGAGGAGGAAGACGAGGAGGGTTTGGACGATGCATCTTCGTCGCCGTAGTCCGCCACCGGAATGAGAAGCTCACGATCGCGGTTCTCTGTCTCTGCTAGCCGGATTATTACGTGTGAGGAGTTGAAGGAAATGTTGTGTTTTGTTGTATCGCTAATTAAACAGGGGGCGGATTAATTAATGCTTAATATCTCATTGTTTCTCAATTTTTTGGCAATGAAATCTTTAGATAAGAAAGTTGTTCAATATTTATACATACACGCTTCTTGAATGTAATTTGGATGCTCTTTTAAATTATTCAACTCAGTTTTGGATTCTTAAGAGCGGATTAGAATGAGGAGAACCAAGCTTAAAGTGAAAAATGATAAGAGCATTTTAAATGACATGTCAAATTTATAGTAACATCATTAACTTTTAGAGAACACAATTGAGTTTGGCTTTAACTGAAATGTTTTAGCCCCAGTTTGGGATTGAGGTGATTTTAAAAAAAACTCATATGAAAAAAAGCTGGGAGTGTTTTTGGTGTTTGGTAAACTTAAAAAAAATGACTTATTTTGGAAGCTGCTGTGAGAATAAGCTGAAATCAAAGGAAAAAGCTGAAGCTGCAATTTGTAGCTTTGGAAAACTAGTTTTTTTTCAAAGCACACAGAACTACAGTGCTCCTTTAATGAAAAGACCCACTATTAGACTGCTTTTTTTTCCAAAAGCACTTTTACAAAAAAGTTTACCAAACACTCTGCTGATTTATTTCACAGCCGCTTATTCTCACAGCAGTTTTTTTTCAAAGCATAGCAATACCAAACCAGCCCTTAGTCACATGAAACAATGGCTTCAATAAGTGCTGCCAATTTTAACATCATTTTTGTATTTTCTCTCTTTTTTAAACACCATGCCCACCTATTTCTACCATTAAATTTAAAGTGGAGCTCAATGTAGATACATAAATAACTTTTACAAATTAAAAGATCTCATCTTATTGGAGACAGCATTTGTAGATGGACAAAGGGAAGGAAAAAAAAAAGAATTTAAGTTGGTTTTTGTTAAGAGAAAGGAAAGACAAAAAATGGCATGGGACTAGACTTGGACATCTTATTTTCTTATGATTCCAACATTTTTGAAAGTTGAAGTTTGAGCAAGCCTAAAGAAGTTGAAAAGTATATTTTAAAGTTTGTGTGTTGAACTTTGAACATCATATAACATAAATCAAACATCATAAACTAAGAAATACTCGCACCAAACACTTTACTCAATATCAAAATACGTCTTTTACGTTGTAAAAGCCACTTCTTTATAACATAAAAGCACATATTGGGTTGTTTGCCAAATAACAAACTACTTCTTCGTAAACGTGATACTAACGAAAATGTTTTATAGAGAAGCGCTCTCAAACAATCCAGTATTCGTCTAGATTTATATATATTGCTTCCTAATAATAATGAAATATAGAGAAGTGCTCCCAAACAACCCCTAACAAAGAAATATTGAGATAAGAGAGGTCTTTGTTGGCAATTTGTTTCCCCTTTGATAGGTGCCTCATGGTGCAAGAAGCATGGGGATGATGACCACGATGGTGATGACGGATACGATTATGCCCCAGCAACATGCATAGAAGGTGATGGCGATGACGATGATTCAAATTATGATTATGCTCCAGCAGCATCTATAGAAGGTGATGACGGCAACAACGATGATGGTGGTTATGATTATGCACCCGCTACATAAGAAATTAGTAGTTTATTTTTCATGTTTTTATGCAGGCTAACTAGCTTTGATGAATTGAGGAATTATAACGTGCTAGTAGGATTGCTTGATCTCTCGAAATTTTTTGTTAAGGATCGAACTATTTACGAAGTACGTTCACTTTAAGAATAAGACAATTAAGCATCCAAGTTAATGAAAATCAAACCCCTAGCTTCGCCAGCATCTGGATTTCCTTTCTCTAAGGATAGAAACTGTCTTTACTGAATTCGGATTATCGCACCAAAATTTGTGTCTAGGATTTGATGAAGAGAGAAAATGGACTAGATACTTAGCTCAGCAACGTCATACCCCAAGACCAATAGCTAATGCAAGGTAGAATGTACCAATCAAATAATGGGGTTTAAGGAATGCATTTCAGAATATACTTCATACCAAAAATGTCGATTCCAAGTTGAGCATGGATTGGAGAGAAGAAGCGATCCACAAAGTGAATAAACCACCATGGGATATAGAAATTGATCACTATTGGAAATAGGACACAGTGCATAGAACAAAGAGTGAGCAGCTAATTTGATACATACGAGCAAAAAACAATCTTGAAGAAACAAACATGTTAATCGTCACTTAATTAATAATTCAATCATCTATCACTACATCATTTGATTTGCAAATTTGGTTTAAAAAAAATTGATATCTCATTACTCTTTTAATAATTTAAAGAAAGAATCCAACAATCAACCATCATATCACGTATCTCTGTTTTTTTTTTTTTTTTTTTTTTTGAAAACTTATCACGTAGCTCTTTTTCAAAACATAAACAAGCACGTAGTCTAATTCTTTAAAGATATTTGACCCTCCCCACAACATAGAATTGATGGTTTACTTTACACAGTACCGGAAGGAAAATTGACAAACAAAGCGAGACCCAAATCTGAGTTTGCTCCTCCATTAGCCTCATGAAACTGTCAAACACAAAATTAGAATCTTAATCAACAAAATCAACCCATAAATTACAATTAACACAGACACACTAACTTCAATTAACGTCAAGTACACAATTTGATTGGAGGAATACCCAATCCGATGGATCGTATAAGTGTTGCACTAAACAAACGTTTGTACCCTAGAAACTAATTAGGCATAGAGTGATGCTAGAGATGCCATTTACTTAAACTATATTTTGTAGATCAAATGATGTGCAATTGATGATTGAATTCCTTCTTTAGTAATCTAAATAAAGAATTCAACCATCGAATGTCACATCATTCGGTTTACAAAATATAATCTGACCGAAGGGAAAAACTGAAGAGGCTGTTGTTTTAGACCATATTTTGTAAACCACATTATGTAGTTGTTGGTAGTGGAATTCTATTTTAATAAGAGTAATGCTAGGAAAACTAAATTCTTAAATCAAATTTGCAACTCAAATGATGTGTCACAAATAAAAAATAAACATGTTAATCGGCACTGAATTAATAATCTAATCATCTATGATCACATCATTTGATTTGCAAATTTGGTTTAAAAAATTTAGTCTCCTATTACTCTTTTAATAATTCAAAGAAAAAAAATACAATAATCAACTACCATATCAGGTAGCTCTTTTTCAAAACGTAGAAACAAAATATTTTTAATCAATAAAAAAGGAGAGAAAAGTCTGCAAATAATATTCACAATTTTGTCAATTTTTGGTGGGATATTACATTCACAATTACCCGATTAAAAGACTAAAAAGTCTTCAAAACGCGTTCTCCCTCCCCTTATATGAACAAAATCTCAAGGCCGTAGAAATTTCTTCTGCCTCCTCTGAGCTCGCCGGAGCTCCCTCCGAGATCTCAACCTCCGCCGCAAGCCCGCCCTCTGCTCTTTTGGCTTCAAAGATCCGAGCTTTTCTGTATGTTGGTGATGTACAATTTCTTCCATAACTCTAAATTTCAGTCGAATCAATCGTCGTTAATGCATTAATTTCATACCCAAATAGTAGATCGGCATAATTTTCAAAATCCATATCTCAGATTTCTCTATGAAGTGTTCACCTCTTCGATTTTACTCGCTTGCCTTTGTTAGTGTAGCCTTTCACCGTCCGTGTAGCTCTTGAAATTTTGAAGATCTACTGGATTTTTTGCTCTGAATTCGAATTGGTATTCTAGTTAGTGACAATGTCTGCGATTAGAGTCGATTCCGCTAAGCCGTATTTCGCTACGAGCAGTCTAGTGATTGGGTATGCTCTCTGTTCTAGCTTATTAGCCGTGATAAACAAGTTTGCCATTACCAAATTCAACTACCCTGGCCTTTTGACTGCATTGCAGTACCTTACTTCTGCTTTGGGAGTTTGGGTCTTGGGGAAGTCGGGATTTTTGCACCACGATCCCTTCACATGGCAGACGGCGAAGAAGTTTTTACCTGCTGCACTTGTGTTCTACCTTGCCATCTTTACCAACACCAATCTTCTTCGCCATGCCAATGTGGATACTTTTATAGTGTTTAGATCCTGCACACCCCTTTTGGTTGCGTTGGCGGATACTGCGTTTAGGAAACAGCCTATCCCGTCGAAGCTTACCTTTGTGTCGTTGTTGATCATTTTGGGTGGAGCTGTTGGTTATGTGGCCACAGATTCGGGTTTTACTTTAACTGCGTATTCATGGGCGTTTGCTTACTTGGTGACCATTACCACTGAGATGGTTTATATTAAGCATATGGTCACGAATCTCGGGTTGAACACTTGGGGGTTTGTGTTGTACAACAATCTTTTGTCACTGATGATGGCTCCACCATTTTGGATAATTACCGGAGAGTATTCTGATGTGTTTGCTGCCTTGGGGTCGAATGCTGCGGATTTCTTTGAACCTGGTGCACTTTTCGCGGTCTCATTGTCGTGTGTGTTTGGATTGCTCATCAGTTTCTTTGGGTTTGCAGCAAGGAAGGCAATCTCTGCTACTGCATTTACCGTGACTGGTGTTGTGAACAAGTTTCTTACGGTTGCAATCAATGTGCTAATTTGGGATAAGCATGCTAGTCCATTCGGTTTGCTCTGTCTCCTCTTAACAATCGTAGGGGGTGTTCTTTATCAGCAGTCCGTAACTGGAGTAAGCAGTGCTCCATCACCACGTGAAACAACAGCATCTAAGCAGGCTCTCAGTGAGAGTGATGGTGATGACTTTTCCGAAGAAAATCAAGTGAAGGTAATTTCCGGAAGACTTGCTTCCAAGTGAGAATTCCATTCTACTTTGTCATTTCGTAGCTACTGGTGAAGCTGCAGTGCATGTTTGAAGTTTTATCTTTAGCAATTAGTAAATTAGGAAATTTTCTGTGTTTGATATCGACAATGATTTGTTAAATTATGTTATTATAATTTGATATCTTGGAGCACGTCAGCTCACCTTATCACCTGTGATTAATGACAATGCCATAATTTTTATCTCAAAATTATGTTGTATCTGATTCATTTCTATAAACATTTCCATGTAGAACTTCATGTTTTTCTAATAGTTAATTGATCCGATATTTTCGGGA